CAGGAGCATACCGAAATCTATCAACACCTTCAAAAAAATGCCTTCTCATTCGCTGTAAAGGCGAGTTCAAGGTGTAGAGTTTAGAGTTTAGCCTGTTGTTGAAGCTTCGTTTAGGTAGGAGCGCTTCTGTCACGAACAGAATCAGTGGCATCAAGAGGTGAGTACTCCATGGACTTGTACCGAATCCTTAAACTCCAACCCGCTGACCTCTAAAGCGGCGAGAGGTAGAGGTTTGCCCGCGCCCTTTGAGCTTCAGGGTTGCACTTCATCGTTGGACTGCGCAGGTGCGGTGTTTCGGGATGTTGGATGTAATAGGCACGCAAGCGTGCTTCAAAGCAAAATGAACCTGCTTCAAACCCATCATCATGCCCCCCCACCCCGCTTTAAAAGCCACGCAAGCTTGCTTCAAAGCCTATGAGTCTTGTAGAAACCCATCACACGCGAGCATTGTGTTTGCAAATTAGAGGGAGGGAGGGGGGGGGCCTCCGCCCCCCATCGCCCCTGGTGTTCCGCCGAAGCCGTTATAAATATGAATAATGTTAATATTGTTTATTCATAGTGTTAATATGCTTCATACTATCCCCCCCTTCCCCTCGCCACGACAGCAAAAAACAAACGCACCCCCGCCGCGACCACGGCCAACAAAAGGCGCCCCCTCAGCAGCGTGAACCTGACGAACGGATCACATGGCAAGTCTGATGGACGCGTAACACCGTGACACCTAAGAACCCAGCATAGAAATCGTACCATTCGTCTCTCTCACTCTGTTCCACGCATTTTTCGAGCACCAGGTAAGACGTAAGCTCATAGAAAGGTTAACCGCGCAAAGACCCTAACTTACCAAACGCTGAGACGTGGGAAATGGGGTTACGGTCGCTCTCACAATATTTTTAATGTGTGCTCTTCAAGGTGCGTTCACGCATTTCATTTGCAACGCCGTGAGCGCACGGTAGTAATATGAAGAGAGCACACAACGGATGACACCTTGACCACATGACATGGCGGCTATATGATTTCCTCTTCCAAAATCCTGTCTCACCCTTGGGCTTTTTCGAGACACCAGATAATGCCTTGACAATAAGCCCACATAACCGACACCAAGACTTGCACCAAGAGGCCCCGCCAACTGCTGCCCCACCGGCTGCATTGGAAAGTCTCGTGCGAAGTCCTTCTGGGAGGCATTTTGGACCGTACCGACCGTACCGAAATGGGATGCGCAACTCAAGATCCCTGAGCAACGAGACGCCACGTGCATTAACAACAACCAGCTCGAATCCTCGTGGCGCCGATGACACCGTTGACGTTGCTTAACAAACGCCGAGCTGTGCAAATCATTGCAAATCGATACATCTGAAAGCAGAGGTCTATTGCAGCTAAACTGATGCATCTCAACGAAAAAGCACAAGTCCACATAATATATGTAAACCGAAACATGTGAAACCCTCGACCATGACACAGGGGTTTCTATGCCAGAGTGCAGAGGCTGACGGGAAGGGGTCCCAAACTGTCCTGAACCTAAACCCCAAAGCTTGCCACTACGAACGTACACGTTCTCCGAGAAAACTGCCTTTTCAGGGTGGCTCGTGGCTTGTGCTTTCTGAGGCTTTCTGTCTTGCAGCGAGGCTTCTCCCGCCACGTCATCAGGGCTGTCAGGATCATCGTCGGGAGGGTCATACCTTGTTGCTGTCGACACTCCCAAAAAGGTGTTTCGGGTTTTAGGAGGGCCTTCTTTGTGGACGAAACCCTAAACACTTAGAGGCCCGAAACCCTGAGCCGCTGAGCTGTTCCTTCCCCTGAACCCATAGCGAGAACCAGCGCCAGCGTAGCAACGACCTGCAACGACACCGTCACACTCGCAGCCCAATGCATGTCATCAGTCCCCCCCCCCCCAAACCCCAAATCCTAAGCCCCAAACCTCAAAACCCGCCAACCGCAGGGCCTTCCCCAAATGCCAATACCTGGCTGCCGGGGGGCGGGAAATCACTACCTTCGTCCTGCGCGCTGCTCGGCTTGGGTTCAGGGTTCAGGGCTCATGTAAGACACAAGCCTTTCGTTCCCCAAGGCCCGCACAAGACGAACTCCCACAAATCTCACCCAGGGACATAGGGGTAACCTCCAAAATACCTCCAAAAACAATACTAGCAGAACCCCCCGCAGCCATCACGTCATAGACTGGTACTAACTGCATGCCCGCCCAAGATGCGAACAAACAACACAAGCACACACACACACACACACACACACACACACACACACACATGCGTGACCACATTGCACATTACCGTCTGTATTTTCCCACGCTGGAATGCAGTGCCGGTGCCACGGCATAAACACTCCTGTGCATTCTCAACCGGTATCGCGTACCAACCAGATGTGCGACAACACAAGACACTCCACCCAGTTGCCTCGTCCTGCTTCTCACTGAGGAGTTGTTGCAGCAGTCGCTGGGCGGTAGCTTCAGTTGTCAGTCCCATGGCGACGGACAAGCAGGAGACAGGAAGCCCAGTTCAGTTCCATTGACTGGCCTTTCGTATTTGTATTGGTGTAAAAAATATGTTTCACGTGGGGAAGTGCAGGTCTCCTGAGTCCAACTCGTAAGATTCTCAGGAAACCTACAAAAAGAGGAGGTTCTGCGCCTAGACCGAATCTCTTTCAGGGTCACACTGCGAGTGGCTAGACCAAAGTCCTTGAATAGTAGTTCGTAGTAGTTCCTTCGGCGGTGTCACAAACCCGAAGGCCTAAAGCGCGCTTTGACAGGCTTGGGCCTTGGGCTGGGGGCGTAGTCGCCCAGATGGCTGCCCGAGCGACGTGTTGCAAGATGGACATCATGTGGCCCCCAATCAGCCCCCAATCAGCCCCCAAACACCCTAAACTCTCAACCTACAAAGAGCCGAAGCCTCTGCCTGGAGGCACTCCAGATTAGTCGGCGGACACCATCTTGTTAAGCTTCGTTTTCGTCTTAAGACCAAGCTTGCGGTTGATGTGCCCACTCTTCCTGTCAGGACAGCCCCTTCCACTGCCTTTCAAGCTCCAGCTATGACTTCCAGGCATGGAAGCTGCTGAGTAACAAAGAGGGTTCGCTTTAAGATCGGTTCAGGGTTCAGGGTTTAAAGGGTTTAGGCTTTTTGGTGCTGGTCTTCGCAGTTGACATGCCGAAAGACTATAACAGCTTGGCTGAAGATCTCAAAGTCGTTCGCAGGAGCCCTAGGAGTGAAAGGGTGAACTTCAAAAACACGGGCCAGAGACTTGCAATGCGTAGCCGTTCATCATGGTACTGCCGACTCCTGTTTCGGGATAACCTGTGGTGCAAGAGGCAAAGCAAGAACTAGGCTTCTATAGCATTCAGGAGCACCGCATACGATGAGATAGATAGACTGAGCACGGGCAGGGACATCAGAACACTTCCAACGCAAATCCGATGCCCAGAAAGGGGATGAGAGCTGGATCTTCTTGATTTTGGTGTGGGGCTCAAGACGGAAGCCCCACACATCTCTATCAATGTAAGCGGAGCGTTGGGATCTTCTGGAGATAGAGCGGGTAATATGTAAGCCGAATCCGGGCACTGCACGAACTAAGGCACGATGACATATGCCATGGTGGCGAACCGCTTGCACGGGAAGCTTGACATGCCATCCACGTTTTCCGGCAAATGGACATGTTTGCAAAAAGGATTAGTTTCCGACAAGCGCACAACAAACCCTTACCTCTGCTACTACGATCATGTTGCCTGACATGTTGGGCATGGTGAATACCAATAACAACCATATTGTCATTGCTGCTTTGCTTCTTGGTACAATTGTAACTCTACGCGCGCTATCCTAAGCACTGCTATTCCTACTAGCATTGCTAGTGCGACGTTGAATGTTGCCTCTATTTCTAAAGCTATGGCAGTAGTGAGAGCAGTAGCACCAGCAGGAGTGGCAATAGCAGTCATCATGCGCCGTCATCGTCGTCATTGAGTTGTCGTCATCGTCGTCTTTGTAGTCTTCGTCGTGCAGGCTGTCGCATTCACCATCATAACACTACAGCATAACTGCATAACATTGAGTATAGAAATGGTGGCCGCAGCAGTGGTTACACGATGAGTGCCTCCTGTCTTCTTTCCCTACCAACAAACAGTACTGCTACTGCTGTTGTAACTGCGACTGCGAACACTACTAGCTGCTACAGTCTCGTCAACATTGTTACTACAGATAAAGCTGCAGTGCTTTGCGCAAGTGCTCATTTGTTGTCAGTTCTCATAAACCGCAACACGATCATTGCTCCTTGAAAAAATACAGGCTTTCTCGGCTATAGTCGAACAGTAGTATCGTTCCTTCTGCTGGCAGGTCTACTATCTGTCGTCTTCTAGTTGCCGCTGCTGGCTGATAGCACCATCGCGATTGTTCTGAGCGCAGGCCAGATGCCTATATCCTTTCTATCCTCGCTAGTACAGGACCAGTCTGGACCTGCTAGTGGCACAAACTTGCACCATGCCAGCATTGGATTCTTGGTCTCAGTATTCGTCGCTCTTCGGAAACGACATGTGCTGTTCAGATGCCACAAATACTTGGAGGTTCGTGGGACTTAAATAGGTACAATAATAAGTACTCTAAGTGGAATTGTACCTGATTAGAGGTATAGTTGCCTTAATCACAGGCCCTGATTGCTTAAGTAACCGGCGACCTCCGTTCTGGAAGATTTAAAGGCGTCCCACTTGCTCCGCTGCCTCCTGACGGTGTCCTGTTCCTTCCTGAAGGGCTTGCTCGATCGGATGGTTCTTGTAACCACGCCCGACGCTGAACCCGAGTTCTTCAATCCCAAACCTGGATCAATCCCCCTGACAGTTCCGCACTCCGCAAATACTAGAAGATCATCATATGCCCACTCGAGCCCCTTGTGGTAACCTAACACCCATTTCCGGACTGATTGGAGCAGGGCCTGGGGAATGTAAGAGCATACGTCTAGAGCGACTTACTAGTGAAGATTGCTCGCGATTCCCGAGACCCTCAAGCGTTACATCACATGGGGACTCGCCTCAGCCCGTGAAACACGTAGGTCTGCACCAGCTTCTCACGCGCTGGCCCCGGGCCCAGAAGCGCCTCTGAAGCAGACGCCCCTTTGTTCAGCGGGGTTTTGGGCCTCTCGGTTTAGGCTGTAGGATCCTAAACCCTGAACCCAAAACCCTAAACCCTAAACCCTAAACCCTAAACCCTAAACCCTAAGCCCTGCAAGACTTAAGGGTTTAGGGTTCGGGGCTGACAGTCTTTGGGACTTGGGGTTTCCAAGTCGTTCAGGCTTGCCGGATTGTGCTTACGGTTTTTGGGGCTTAGGGCCTCGAGGGTTGAGGATTTAGGGTTTAGGGTTGAGGGTTTAGGGTTTAGGGTTGAGTTTAGGGCATCTTCTTGGGCATTAGGTTTAGGAAATGGAAAGTGGATGTGTCAGAGGCAAAGCCATAGTAAGGCTTAAGCGCTTGGCATTGGCGAATTCCAAGCAAACACAAGCCTTTGCAAAAAAAGCATATGAATCACATCAAACCCTACAAAACCTGTGAAACAGAAACACTTTTTAAAAAAGGAAGCTATATCGATGCTTTCGCCAGGATTCGACGACCTCGCAACACCTAGAACCCCGAGCCAAGCGAGGGAGTTTCAGTCTCAAGGTAAACCATGGAGCCTGTAAGTTTGGGTTCAGAGTTTAGAGGTCCCCTACGCGGCCAGCGTTTTGGTCAACCTCGTAGGATCCCCCAAATCTGTGAGGCCCTGAACCTTCAACATCGTTCACTTAACACCCTGCCAGCTGCCAGGATCCGGTTTGTCGGACCCTGTGCAAGGACTTGGCACCTCTGTGGGCGCCCGAAAAGTAGAAACGGCTACTAAGGAAGAAACGAGAGATGCCTGATCAAAAAACCCTAACCCCAACACCCCAAAGCCTAAACCCAGAAAGTTTCAGATGCCTACACCCCAACATCAAGACCTCGAGACCCTCAAAACGACGTACCCATCAACCCCAGTAAGTACTAGATCTTGCCGAAAACCTCAAGAGACCAACACCCAAATCCCGACGCCTCAAAACCCGAACCGCACGCCCCAAACCCTAAACCCCTAGAAAGGAACCCTTCTAAGACCCTGACAGCAAGTTTTTCAAGACACCCATATAGCTAAGCCCCACCTCCCGAAACTCTAGACCCCCAACCCCCCCCCCACCTCCCTGACGAAGTCCGGCGCTCCCATCTCCGCTGCGAGGTCGGCCGCAGAGCAGCCACGAGAGTTTCGAAGATCCGTTCGCGCCCCTTGCAGGGGATCTGAGGGCCAAAGGTTCTTATGAGGGGTTCTTTCATACAGGGTTCCATGGTTCGATACAAGTGCTGCTAGGGCTCTAGATGGCTTATCCGCCTGAAGGTTTAAGGCTTTAAGGTTTAGGGGTATAGGGGTTTAGGGGTGTAGGGGTTTAGGGGTTTAGGGGTTTAGGGGTTTAGGGGTTGAAGGGTTTAGGGGTTTAGGGGCTTAGGGTTTGGGGGTTACTGCCTTCTGAAGAGCACAAGCCTTCGGCGGTTCAAGGTCTCGGAGTTTCGGATTCCGGAGCTTCGGGGATCGACTTACGGCTGATATAAAATCCTGCATGACCCAGAATACGGCATTTACCATACTTCCCAGAGTCTTGGGTCCTTGAGGCAATGCAGGATGGGATTCCGGAGCTTCGGGGTTCGACTTCGTGCTGAGAGTTTAGGACCCGATGAAGAAACCGCGGGGTCTTATTAGGGCTCTGAACCGCAAACCCGAAACCCCTAAATGCTAAACCCTAAACCCTAAACCCCAAGCCCCAAACCCTAAACCCTTAAGGTCATGTGTCAAGAACATGTAACCTAGCATCCCAGTTTTGACACTTCGGGGCTTCGGAGGTCAAGCGTTTGACAACCTGAACCCGATAGAACCGCTATAGAATCCCCCATAAAGATCCCCCAAAAGCCCCTAAACCGCTAAACCCCCTAAACCTTAAACTGCATATCTTCAAAGTTGTCTTGGGTTCAGAAGTTGAAGCCTCGGAGCCACGGTTGAGGGTTTAGGGTTTAGGGTTTAGGGTCTAGGGTTTGTTTAAGGGTTTAGGGTTTAGGGTTTAGGGTTTAGGGTTTAGGGTTTAGGGTTTAGGGTTTAGGGTTTAGGGTTTAGGGTTTAGGGTTTAGGGTTTAGGGTTTAGGGTTTAGGGTTTCTCGGAGTGCGGAAATTTGCAAGCTCACTGCTTCTTACTCTAGGGTCTCAGGGTTTAGGGTTTAGGGCCAGTTTAGGGTCTTAAGGTTCAGGGGTCAGGGTTTAGGGTCTTGGCTTAGGGATTTGGGGTTCCAAGGCTTTGCGTCTTGCTGTGCTTCAGGCTTTCGGATTGGTTGAAGTGTTGGGGGTCTATAGGATTTGAGTTCCCGCGAATTGAACTTTTTTGTGGCTAGCCCTAAACCCTAAACCCTAAACTCGAATTCTGATGCCTCTCAACCTGAAGCCCTTCCAGCGAAGTCTTGCACCCCAAACTGGTAATAGGGGCCGTAGCACTAGCAGGAAAAGGGCTGTCTGTTCTGTTTTTTTGTTGGTTTTGTTGTACAAAAAGCTGCATGTCTGTTTCATTTCGGAAGATTTGGAACTGACCAAGTGCATCAGGACACGGTTGGTGCGCTTTCGGCGTTCAGGCTTGCCAGATGCTTCCGGACTTTGGCCAAGCCCCGAACCGTAGATCCTGCACTGTTACTTAACGGTTCATGAGACTTAGAACTACAGTTGTAATTAAGGAAGCTAACGATACTTACAATTACTTCTAATTCCACTTTGGGAACTTATAACTGTACTTACTAAGTTCCATGAACCTCCAAGTAGACCCTGATCTCAGAACCTTATGCCTTCACGCTGCACCGTCCGTTCTGATGCCGCATCTGTGGCCTTCGAAATCTCAAGAAAACCGAATATCCCAACCTGTCTCTGCAGATCAATATACTCGCTAAGTGCCTGCCGCTACGAGCGCTGCCGCGGTCTCGAACGAACTCGTGATGATGCCTGTGCGTATGGCTGCTTGTGGTTGGCTGTACTCCGCCTATTGCTGCGGATGCCGTGGCTACGATTTCCCTTATGAGAACTACGAGTAAACGCTGCCACTGCTGAAACAAACACCAGACCTTATTCGGGACAATAATAGCCTTCATACCACCATGTCTACGACCGATAGAAGTGCACACGACCTTTGCCATTTACCTTACACTACGGGTACAGGAACTACCGCAGACGTCCGGTGTCCCTTGTTTTTTACTGTTGAATCGACTCTTAGGCCTTACACTTCCGACTGTCACCACCATCATGAATGCTGGCAACGTTTAGGGTTTGGGCACGTCCAGTCGTACCATGTCGTACCTTCCTGCTACTTGAGGTAGTAGCGCTCTGCTCGACGTTCATCCTACGCAGCGGCCAAAGTGCGGCCCAGGCACTGCACATCAGGGGCGTGGCATTCTCGTGGTGGTAGGCATAGGTGCTCAGAGTGCTCGCCCGCCAGCGATGTCGCAGCCCCATGCAAGCGAAAAGTAAGCCCAAAGGGCTCAGGAGAGGCGTCTGAAGCCGGAAATCCATGTCTGCGTTGGCATCAATGAGCTTCGCCACCACCTCAGGGAGTTGACTAATGAGTCGACTAAAACGAATTTCAGGGGGTTCTGGGTCATGCCGCGTCTGCCATGGCGCTTGCGAGCTCCATAGTTACCAAGCTGATACCTACGATTCCTGCCGCTGACCTTGTCAGGATACGCATACGGCATGGGGTCTATATGGTACCGAAGAGCGGGTTCAGATTCTGCCAAGCAAGGCAGACACGCACGAGTGCTGAGGTCTGGTTTCTGTTGCTACACGGGCTTGTTCGGCACCTATGCACCACCTCCCGCAAACAACATTATTCTGAAAGCGGCCCACAACAAAACAATGCTTTTTGCCACCAATGTGAGAATGTCCCTGTGCCCTGTGCAAGATGCCTCTTGGAAGCTGAATGCTTTGATGCTTAAAAAATGTCGGATTGACTTAGCGACTTGCCCCAAAAGATCCTAGCACTTCGGCCTTCGGCTACACCACAAAACTCACAAATGCCAGATACCCTGTGACCGCGGCAGCCCTGAACCCTACCTGCCCACACCTCTGACCCTAACTCTGGGGATTTGTTTTGGGTTTTTAAGGTCTCGGGTTTAGGGCTTAGGGTTTCGGGTCTGGGGATTAGGGTCTAGGGTTTAGGGTCTGGGGTGCATGGGAGCAGTCTGATGCCTCGGATAACACAGGGGCATCTAGCTCAGTTTGGGGTCCCAGGACGAGGGTTTAGAGGGGGTAGGGCTCAGGTTTTAAAGCTTTCAGGCTTCGGGCTTTTGGGATTGAGGACCCTTCGGTGTAGGGCTTGACAGGGCCAGTGCCGCTCGCCTCTTCCGATCCCCTGCCACAGAGGATGGTCACATGGAGACTGCCAGCGATCTCCGATGGCGGGGTGTAGCCCCGCAAGAAGCTGGTGGCCTGGGAAGCTCAGTGTTTCGGATGTCTGCAAGATTTTTGGGGCGCCTGAGCCTTAGAAGCTCCGGTGAACCTCCGAAGGAACCCTAAACCCTAAATCCTGGAAGCCCTCGATCCCTAAACTCGAGGCCCTGAGCCCCGAAACCTAGAATCCCTTCAATTTCCAGAACCCAGAACTTCCAAAATCCTCTAATTCAGGCATAGGCCTGAAATCATAGTAGAGATCCCGCTATAATTTCAGGCGTCTTCCTTGATTCACTGAACCTCCGACCCCGCAGAGCCCTCAGCCCCATAGGGCCCGAAACAACATCCCAGGCCCAAAAATGGATTCTGGGTTTAGGGTTTAGGGTTTCTGATGTAAGTTACCCTGACAAAGAAACCTTATCGTTTACGATGAATCCCTATTCAGTAACTTGGATTACATCCCTTAACAAGAACCCAGAAAGACCCAACAAAAAAAAAAAAAACCTAAACCCGAAACCCTACATCCTGACCGTTGCAGCTCTTCTATGGAATTCTGTCGCACATTCACACAGGGTTTAGGGTTTTGGAGTCTTGGTGCCCGCTCTCCAGGGCTTCGTTGCAAGTCGGAGGATCGGTTCAGAGATTGGGCCTTTAGGGTTTAGGGTTGAGGGTTTAGGGTTTAGGGTTTAGGGTTGTTTTTAGGGTTTAGGGTTTAGGGTTTGAGGCTTCGGGCTGAGGATAGATCCGAAACTTCCTGGTTGGCAGAGCCCTAAAATGGCGACTTTTGGCCGAGAATTCCGGAAAACAAACCTGAACCTAAGACGCCCCTCACTCCCCCCCACCCCTCCATCAAGGCACACGGACATCGACGCTTTTCTTGAGGTTCACCCTCAACCCTCGAACACCGCTCTCGGGGCTTAGAGCTTAGACGGACAGCCCGGCGCCTAGAGACTCCCAGGCCTTGAAATCACAAAGAACTTCTCACCTCGGAGCCCTTTTCGGGGTTTAGGGGTGTAAGGTTTAGGGTTTGGGGTATTGCAGCCCTGCACTCTCTGGACTTTTCACTCCTAGACCCCTAAGCCCAAACCTAGACCTGTAAACCCTAGAGACCCTATGACCCTAAGCCCTAAAACCCCTATAATACTACAGCTCCCCTTCAAGGAGGAACCCTTCTTGGAGTTACTAAGTCCCATGACCCTACCCAGAGCCGTCCTCCACCGAACCGGCCATGCATGCGCTGCCGAAAGCCAAGAAGCCTCAGAGGCGGAAGCGACACGAGGGTGGCTTAGGGGAGTTTAGGGTTTAGGGCTTAGGGGAGTTTAGGCTTTAGGGTTTGGGGTTTGGGGCTTAGGGGAGTTTAGGGTTTTGGGCTCTCCGAATTAAGTGTCCAGTCGCTAGGCTTCAAGGGTTTAAGGTTTAGGGGTACAGGGTTTAGGGGGGATTCCGAAAGTAAGGGGTCTTGGGTTTAAAGGACGTCTGTTTGACAGTCTGGTTCGGGCAAACATATATATATATATACATACACATACATATCTTTGTGCTGTATCTATGCCAGCCATTTTCTCGCACACCTTGCTGGTGCCAATGGAGGGATGAGTTCGGGAGACACCCTAAGCACCCGAGCATGGTGCAGAGCATGGTGTAACCTGGTGTAGGCCCTAAACCTTAAACCCTAAACCCTAAACCCTAAACCCTAAACCCTAGGGTGTAGGGCTACTCCTTGAGAACTCTGCCATGATGGCTCGGTTGGTTTGGGCCTGCGGGGATGGGCACTTCAGGTTGCCGTTGTGTTGCTGCTACGGTCTGTGTAGGGTTTCAAGTTTACCCCTCTCACTCTTGACTTCTCCAACACTTCAGCATGGATGCTGGCTTAAGTCTTCACCATGACTCGGATGTTTGCTACTTTTCCCTCCCGCAACGACACTTTCCAGTACTTTTCTCTGATAGTAGGCCCTGCTTGCCAGTTCCAAGGGTGCCTACTTGTGAGAAATTGAACCCCAAATCCCAAACCCCCTCAACCCTAAACCCTGAACCCGATAAACCCTGAACCCTGTACCCTACACCCTCAACCCTAAACCCTATAAACCCTAAACCCTCTAAGCCCTATACACCCTAAACCCTAAACCCTAAGCCCTAAGCCCTAAGCCCTAAGCCCTAAGCCCTAAAACCCGAAATCCGATGGACCGAACAAAAGCCCGAAGTCCGAACCCAAGCAAATCCCACAACCTCGAAGCCCGGTCTTAGGCAATCAGGTCACAAGGAGAAAAAAAACCATCTTAGTCCATCAGAATGACTCGTGAGAGAAACTCTGTGAAGGCAAATAACATCTCAAATATCACCCTCATGGCACCCTGAAAAAAAAACGAAGCCGTTAGACCACTCGAGATCCCTGCACAACCCTCATATACCCTCATACAGACCCCAGTGGCCCAGCATGTTCGGAGAGAGTGCTGTCTCTGGGCTATGCTCGCAAAGGAGCCTCGGGGGTGCTTCCAAGGGGGGGTTTAGGATTTAGGGCTTAGGGTTCGGCTTTGGGTTTAGGGCTTAGGGATGCTATTGGTTGGAAGTTTAAGGTTTGAGGGTTTACGGCTTACGGCAGTTTACGCTTTTGAGGGTTTGGGGCTCAGGGTCTCGCGTTTTAAGGGTTTGGGATAGGGCCGGGCAATTGGGGCTCACAGGTCTTAGCGCTTGAGGGTTTAAGCCTCAGAATGTCCAAGGTTTGGTGATTGAAGTGTAGACCTTGGACCTGCGTCGAGAATCTACGGCTCAGGGAGGGTCTGGGCTCCGAGATTGAAAGATTCCTTTGCGAAATTTGGGTTTCGGAGTTCGTGGTGGGCGATCCTAAGGCGGATAAGGGCTGAGGAGGTAGAGTGCTCCTCTTGGGAGCTCCTGCCACTTCGGGGGGGTACCTTTCAGCTCGGAGTCCTCTTAATCCACATCCTTGGGGTATCGGGTCGATAGATCAGGGCCTTGCTCTTCTTTCAAGTCGAACTTCCGTCATGGCATCGACTCCAAGGCTTTGCTCCCTGGACTTCTCAAGGCCACCCATCAGGGCGAAAGGGAGACCCGACCCCCCCCCACACCAGACACCGCAAACGCCCCCTCAACATCCCTGAAACCCGAAAGGTAAGGCCACCAAAGTGAAGCATGGGCTGCTGAAGCCCTTCGGCATTCCCTGCCAGCGCAGCCCAGTGCGTGGCGTTGTGCTTCAAGTCATCCTTTCCGTAGGGGCTTTCATGGTAAGAGTAGGGTGTTGGGCTCCTTTGTAGCATAACTAGAAGAAGGAACCTTGAGGAATATTATTGGGTCGAGGGCTCTTTCAGGGGCTTCTGGCGTTTCTAACTCTCCTTCCTTCAGGCGTGGAAGGTGGGACCCGCTGGGTCTGAGGGCTGGTGCAGGGCCATGGTGCTCGAGGGTTCAGGGTTTAGGGTTCAGGGTTTAGGGTTTAGGAGGATTTGAGCCCAGATGTTTCAGGGTTTAGGGTTTAGGAGGATTTGAGCCCAGATGTGTGACCCCAACCTGGCCCAGGTTTGAATTCCCAAACCCCCTGAACTCCTAAACCCTAAGCCTCCCCCCCAACCAGCCAAGCCTTCTGTGCTGCCCTGAACCCTAAAACTCTAAACCGCCAAACCCCTAAATTCTCAACTACACCTCAAACCCGCAAACCAACCCCAATAAACGCTCGATGCTCCCCAAACAACCCTAAATCCCCCACGAACCACTTTTACAAAAGCTCGTGAACCCGTCCTCCGCATGAAGATCTGCCCTGGCTTCGATCAGCACCCGGCAGGCGTCGTTGTTCATCAGCGCCGCGCAGATCGACAGGGCGCTCATCCTCCCAGGGCTTTAACCCGTTTTCCAAGAGAAGGCAGTTTTTGGGTTTAGGGGTTTCGGGGTGTAGGGGTTTAGGGTTCAGGGTTTAGGGTGTAGGGTTTAGGGGGTGTATGGGGTGCAGGGTTTAGTTAATTTAGGGTCAGATCCCATTTTGCTGATCCTCGAAGGGAAGTTGAAGAGCTTGTCGTACTTGGTGCTGCAGCTGTCCACATCGGCTCGTTGCTCTAAAAGGCTCGCCACGAGCATAGGGCTGCCATCCAGGGCCGCATAGCCTCAGGGGCTGAGAGTATCCTGGCCCAAAAAAACCTGACGTTCAAAGTTACGGTAGGATTATATAGAAGCCCCAAAAAAGTTAACCTTCTCAGCTCTGGTCGGACTATAGAAGCCCCAACAAGTTAACCTTTTCAGTTTTGGTAGGATTGTAGAAGCCCCAAAAAGTTAAAGCTTACCTACTCAGGCCCTAAGTAGCAGAGCGGAGGCCAGCCCGCGGAGGCCGGCTCCCGGATGGAAAGAAAGCCGTTCTGATACCTCGCGATCTTCGGTCTTCGGGTGCAGGATTTAGGGTTTAGGATTTGGGGTTGAGGGTTTCGGGCTTAGGGTTTAGGATTCATGGTTCAGGGTTCAGGGTGTTCAGGATTCAGGGTTTAGGACTTAGGGTTTAGGGCTTAGGGTTGAGGGTTTGGGCTGTCCCTGAATCTGGCACAACAGGGCTGAAAACCTTAGGCCTCATGTTGGGAATTAGAATGGTGCTGTGGGTATCTTATGCTACAACTATATACCGAGGACGAGAGGGGGAATACTTCTACTTCAACCTTAATCTGGCTTTACATCTTCCTCTGCACAGTGGGGTGATGTCACGTGCTGGTTGCTTCCATGGGGACTCCTCTTGCGGGAGCATCCTACTTGCACCTACAATCACCGAAAGACACCCTCATGGAAAGCCGAACGTATAGCAGCACAGAAAAGCCGCATGAAGCGCTCCACGGTCAACACCGCCGGGTCTTTGGTGTCGGAAACAAAGCCCGGCACAAAGTCCTCCACTGAGAACCCCTGACTTTTTGGGGGTTGAGGACGCAGGGTTTAGGGCTTAGGGGGCCTACGGCTTTAACGCTTAGGGTTGAGGTTTTAGGAGGCTGGCCAAAATCCTGGAAGCTGCCACAACCGCTGTTTTGAGGGTAGTCTTAGAGACATGGGGATTTAGGGTTTAAAGTCCAAGGGAGCTTTCTTTCAAGTCCTTATTAGATGACTGAATCCTCCGTGCACTCAGGGGTCGGAGCGGCCTTGGTTTTAGAGGGCTTCAAAGGGTGGCTCCATTGCTGAGGGCTCACTTGTAGGTGGGCTCCGGTGTCTAGATGTGTGGGGTTTAGGAGTTTGAGGCTTCAGCAGTTTGGGTGAAGAGCTTGCGGTGCTTTAAGAGCTAAAGTGCCTGGCTTTCAGGCGTTTCACCCTAAACCCTCTCGACCCTGCAAAACCCCGAAAAAAACCCTAATCAAACCCCCAAACCCCTAAAACCCCTCTGCAAAACCCTGACAAACCCCTAAAAGCCCCTAAAAACCCCCTAAAATCCCCCCGAAGGCCCCCCACGATTTGCGGGGGAGGGTCCTCCTTGGGCGTGGCTGCCAGGCCCCGGAGCTGCAGCCTCTGCAGGTTCAGAAGGATGCGGTAGTTGCAGAAGTCCTCAAGGACTTCGGGGCTTTGGGTTTAGGGTTTAGGGTTTAGGGTTTAGGGTTTAGGGTTTAGGGTTTAGGGTTTAGGGTTTAGGGTTTAGGGTTTAGGGTTTAGGGTTTAGGGTTTAGGGTTTAGGGTTTAGGACTGTTGAGGGTAGTTGCAGAAGTCCTCAAAAAGTAGGACCCTCGCAAGTCGTGAGTTTCGGGGCTTAGGGCCTTTCAAACGTCCTCAAAGCTTCGGGGCTTGGGTTTTAGGGCTTTAGGGTTTCGTCTCAAGATTTTGAGGATTGGCAGGGATGGCTGTGAGGCATTAGATTGAAGGCTGGTTTCGGGATTTAGGGATTTAGGGGTGTAGGCGTGGCTTGTAGTAAAATTTCGGACCGGTGGAGTCAAGAATTTAGCAAGTTCGGGAAGCTTGGGATCCTCCTGCAGTAGGAAGTAGTTCAGCTTGTTGGCCAACATGACACACCTTGTAGCAAAATAGACATGAAATCTTCAACAAACCATTGTAGTTTTGCTATGACTGCTATGATAAAAGGCAGAAACTCATTCCTAAGCACACCAAAGACACAGGACTTCGGCCAACTTCGACCGGTCTTCGTCCTTTCTGAACTGGCCTTCACCCACGGGAATCCTGAGCCAGTCCCAATGGGGTCCGAGAGCCTGGTAGGAGCCGCTGTGGACTTCCTGGGGGGTTCTTTGCTCTTTGACTTGAACTTACAAGGGTTTAGGGGGGGTTTAGGGGGCCTTTACGGCCTTTAGGGCATCATCTAAGAAACCATATCTTGCTTGCCTTCTTAACTTACACATCCCCCCCCCAATTATATGGTATAATGTATAATAAACCTATAGGATCCATCCCTCTAAAAAACAACAAGAAGGAGAGCCCAGCTTCGATGGAGAGGCCGGTCTTCCCTTGGAGCCTGAGCCCCTCCGCGGCGCGCTCCAGTCTGCACCAGCCGCGGCTCTCCCAGCTTCGCTTCGCGAGCGCTTCGTTCTCTGCGTGTCTGACATGGGGGCACAGGACCACGAAGTACTGGCACTTCTCAACATAAGCCGCGATGCTGCTGATGGCCTGCTCTCTGGTTTTGCCGATCTGTTCTTCGATCTGGGGGCAGGAGAAGTAATCGTACCAAAGGAAGAGCGGCTGGGAGGTCAGCTCTTTGGCTGTGACCCGCTTGGTGTCTTGAGCGTACATCATCTCGACCAAGATGTTGGCATTGACCCCTGAAGCGTTCGACACGCTAGACATCATCTTCCTCAAGGCTTCCTGCAAGATCTTGAACTGCTCAAAGAAAGGATCAGGATGGTCCGAGCCAGCCCACTGGTGCGAGATGAACATGGCACTCCCCTGACTGCCCCCCTCGTACTGTACCAAGGTACCTGCATTCAGGAGCTCCTCGTGTGGCCGGAGCACAGTCATGCTCAGCACGTCCTCCACCTGGCACACGAATCTGCTGCTGTGCGATGCTGTGGGCTTGCTTGGGACGGATCCAAAAACACTGGGTAAAACGGAACCACATTGCGTAACTCCCCAAGGTGCTGGGATAACGTACATCGGAAAGTACTGAGGCATGCAGGCGATCTGTGTCACGGCGGAGTCGCGAAGGTACGCAGCATGTGACGCGAGCGGCAACGCCACTTCCGAGCTTCGCTCTGGCGAGCAGCAGGATCGAAATAGCGACATGCTACGAAGTACAACACCTCGAAGGTTTAAAAACCGGACCTGTTTGTCCTCGGAGCCAAAACATGCGCAAAAATCATGTTCCAAACCTAGTCGTGCAAATTTGTTGTGTTGAATGCAGAAGGAAAATTCGACGCCAATGCACAAGCAACATATTACATGTCGGCCCCGGTTAAATCGTCTGATATCGTTTAGACGGGTAGGGTTGCATCGATGCTATACTGCTACTGCTACGGTTGAGTGCAGAAGCGTTCCCAGTACGAGATCAAGCAACCCGAGCACCAACCCAACGCCGGCTGCAAGATCGCGTTCGTCTCTCAACAAGAACTGCTGCTTATCTCGTTGCCCAGAGCGAATAGTTGTTCAATCTGTGGCAATCGAAACATCGGCATCAAGTGTGGAAAGCAAAAACCTACCCCGGAAAACATGCACACATGATAAAAGAACAGGTGGGGCAACAACACATTCGGTGAGCCCAAGTCGGTGCAGTGAAACCACGTGTTCAATGAATTGTAAATGCATGTTCAATGAACCCAGTTCACAGTTCACGGTCCGTTCCAAGCAGCTTAACGTAACCTAACCTAACCTAACCTAACCTAACCTAACCTTACCTTACCTAACCTAACACATGAACAACCCATCCGCGGCCAACCAGGACCTGAAGTCACGGACCCAAGCTGACCCAACACCCACGTCCTTCTCAACAACAGCTTGAACCAGTTCAGGACGCACTCGTCCAACTATGACGTTTTGGTTTCAGTCTTTAGGGTCTTTGGCCCCAAGAAGCAAAGCCTAGAGCCGGACATTCTTGTTGAACCTATTCTTCTGGAGAACTGGGCCAAACTGTCTGGAGATCCTTCGACTCTGCCTGTTACAACTAACTTGGTTGGCGCCTACAGTGTTTGTTTGCGCTGGGGCGCAAATAATGGCGCCTCTTTGACCCGCAACAGTGTGTCGATCACACGTGGGCCCGCCGTGTTCTTCATACATGCTTCTTCCCCCATTACCATCCGGTGTGGGGGGGGCCAAAGGCACACAGGGAGTCCCCTGACGAGGAGGCAGATGACGTCTCTCAAAGCTCGACTTCCACTGCGGGAAGCAGACCCATCCGCACGCCGCCAGCAAAGCCGCAACGGCAACATTCCAAACCCAAGACCCAGCCAGCACATTTTCCGGCACCCAGCAGAGAATGGTGGCCAGAAATTGACAAGGAGGAACCATCCTGTCTGGCAGCTTTGAACTATGATGCCCTCCAACTTTTCTTCAAACGCCCCTTTACCACATGAGCGGCCTAGTGGGCAGGTCTGTTGCCAAATCGGTAAGACAACTTGGTCGAGACGGTCGAGAATTGCAGACAAGAGCAGCACCGCGACAAAACCGACCCAAGCAGACACGACCGCCCACCCAAGCACGAAAAAAAACTACGGTGAAACATTGCCCTGACTCTTAAGACACGAAGAAGAAGCAGTACCATGCAGAAGGTTATGTGCATCCCTTCAGTCTTTCCAGGGCAAGAACGTTGTCCGCAAAATGAAAGACTGCCGCTGCAACACTAGGCCGCATTCATGCCAGACAAACAAAACGCCCTTTCTCGCTCTTCCGACCCTCCGCCCTTCTTGCATGGAATGTGAAAAGCAGAGCACTCGCACAGTTCTTTTCGCAAGTCGCACTTAAGCCAAACACCGTGGTGTTCAGCTGAACTTCAAATTCCGTCTTAATTTTGCTAAACAAAAGGAGGAAAGCAAAAGAAACAGAGCTTTGCACGAACTGCTTCAAGACTTTGCAAGGCAAGCTTAGTGCTCTTAACACGCATCACAGGGAACTGAACCAAACGTTATGCCATGTCAAAACATGCCAAAACAAGAAAAAAAATCAAGCAGGTTAGACAACTTCGCAACCTCAGAAAGCACCAAACCGCTTTAAGTTCTCCGGCAACTTCTGCTTGAGCACAGGCTTGCCGGCTGGAAGTTAGACAGGGGGAACTTTGCCTTCAGCCGCTGGAATCTGCAAAGCAAACCCCCCAGAAGGGCGCCCTGAACTTCTTGCAATTGCCAAACGGCACAGAGGCCTTAGCAGCAAGACATCCTCCGTGAACCAGGACGTTCCGTCGGGCACTCAGAGTTCAAATCTCGAGCCGTAAAGGATTCTGCTAACATTTTGAACACTCAAAGGCCTGCGGAGTCACTCAAGATTCATCGGGCTCAACTACAGGGAGCAAAGTAAAAACACAAATTAGTACAACAAAATGTGGGCTTCTACACAAACGGAAAATCCTTAGCACCCCGCCTCACAGTGCTTCGAGGTTCGGAGTATCTGTGTACATAAGGATTTCCGCCCACATTGACTTCAACAAACCAGACAACTTAGCTCATGCTCCCTTTCGACTACGATCAGCTGTTTCGCTGATCTGCCCTAGCCAGCTCAAGGCCTTTGTGACAGCTGCTGCTTTTGAGCAGGAAGTTCAACTACGCTACGGCTGAACTACGGAATGCATGCTTGTTTGCCCAAGCGGAGGCCACAGGCAACAGAGTTGCCATCACTTAGCCATTGAGGCTCGTAGTAAAAAGATTGTGATGGCCTAGCTGCCATCGCACGAGAGATGAGTCGGCTACTCAAATCAAGGCATTCGGAGTAACACATTCGAAGTGCGGCATAAAAGGGATTGGTTCCAAAATGGAACATAACAAGTTTCGGCTAGCCCGGGCAAAGTCAAAAAGCATCATGAGCATTACCAAGCATAGCACAACAAGTTGGTGGGTTCGGATTGCCAATCTACTGCATGTCATCGCGTCAGGGTCTGCACACTCGGCACGGTGTGTAACCCTTCTCCACTGCTTCTCTGCGGCTGATTTCCGTCACTCCATCTGAATGCTTCAGCTTGGTGCATGCAATGCGATGGAACGCATAGCCTTGTCTCGTGGACACCCAGACATCGGGCACTCGGGCCGGTCTAGCAGCTGCCTTGGGGCGCCTACGGGCTTGCGGCACCTCCTCGATGACTTCGGAACTCTCGGACGCTGCATGCTCGTCACTTCCTCGAGCTTGCTCATCACGGTTCCGCGGACTCGACTTTGCCTTTGACCTGGCACCTCTGGCTGCTGCCTTTCTGTGCTCTTCAGGCACATCACTATCATCAGAACCAAGAGGCAAAGGCCGGGCAGGCGTTCCTGGAGCACTTTCCTCTGGTGCTTTCAGCACTTTGTGTAAAACGATTTAGGGTTCGTTCCAGACCCTTGAACTTGAAACCACTAGCGGGCACTTTTTTGCTGGGACTCGGTCTGTTCAGCAGTCCCTTGAGCCTTGTTGGCAGCAGTGAAACGACAAGGAAAAATACTTCTACAGGGGGGCACAAGGCTAACCGAAAAGTTTGTTACCCCCTCTCCGAGTTACACTTCATTGCCTCACACTTCTCATCGCAATTAAGTTCACTCGGATTCAAACTCCTCATCGCTCACTTCGGTCATCCTTTTCCTTTAAACACATCGTGGTGCACACTTCTTTTGTTGGTGTGAAACGTGAAACGAGGAAACTACGCTGCTACTGGTAGCCTCTCTCACTTCTCTTTAAACACATACACAGACGGCTTTTTCAAGACTTCGTCTATAGGTGCGATCTTGCACCTTTAGTTTATTGTCATTTCGGACATCTTTCTCTTCCAAGCCCCCTCAGGGCTTCACTTCTTCTTTTCACCTTCCTCTTTGGGCTTCTTCCCTTTTCCTTTTCCATCTCCTTTTCTGAACTTCTTCTTGTTCTCGTCAAGCAACTTTGCGTACTCGGCCCTAATCTCCTTCTCATTTTCACGAAAGTACTTCCTGAACTGGGCCTTTGTTCTCTCCGTTCCATCCTCGTTCTTCACATTCAACCACGGGGTGTATTTCCCATTCTTGTCGTAGGAATACCCTGCGTCCCAACACATCATGTAGCTGTGGCCGTGTCGGGAACACAGAATGCAAAGCTTCTTCTTTTTGTCTTCCTCCTCGTCGGTCTCTTCTTCGATGTTCAAAACGAACTTCCCTTCCAGGTTCTCCTGTCCTTTCTCGCTTTTCAACTTCTGGAAGTCACTTTCCAACTTCTTGTTGGTCTCCGACAAACCTTTGATGCTCTTCTTCAAGGTCTTATTCTCCTCTTTCATGCTCTTCGCTTTCTCTTCATCCATGGATCCAACGCTTTCACGTTTCCTCTTTCGGAGCATCTCCAATTCTCCTTTCATCGCTTCCATCTCTTTCTCGTTCTCTTCCTTTTTCTTCTTGAGCTTCTCGTTTTGCTCTTGAACTTCCTGAAGCTCAATTTCCACCTTCTGCTTTCCCAATCGCAAATCCATGAGCTCTTCCTTGATTGCGACGTCCACCTTTGGGTTCAAAAGCGGCGGCCTTTCTTCCTTCTCGTACTTTCGAAGCTCTTTTCTCTTTTCACCCAGCTCTCGCAACGCTTCGGCCAGCTTTGGCCTCAACTCATCCATCTCCTTTTCCAACTCTTCTTCATGCTCCAAAATCTCATCAGCTTGGGCTTCGATCGCTTCACAATCCTTCTTGCTCTTTTCCAACTCATCCTCCAACTTGTCCCACAGCTCGGACAAATTCTCTTTTTCTCGTACCTTGACCGCTCGGTACACTTTCGCCTCCTCGTACCTTTCCGAGGTCGAGGCAAACGCTCTTCGGGCCTCATCCAGCTTCTCCTTTTTCTCCGTCATTTTCCCCAAGAGCTCTTTCACATTTTTCTCTTCTTCGAGCACCTCTTTCTTCGCTGTCTCCTTGAGAATCTCTTGTACATCTTCCTCCTCGCTCGAGGTCTCTTCTTTTTCACCTCCATCTTTCTTCTCTTGGGACTCCTCGTCGGACTCTTCTTCCTTTTTCTCTTTCTCTTTTGGCTGCTTCTCTTCGCTTTTCTCTTGGGACTCCTCGTCGGACTCTTCTTCCAGACTCTCTTTCTCTTCTGGCTGCTTCTCTTCTTTCTTGTCGAAGATCCCTTTCCTTCTCTTCTTTGCTGCTTCCTGGAGCTCTAGCAGCTCGACCTTTCTCTTCTCGACTTCTTTCTCCTCGCTTCCAGCGCTGCTTCCAGGTTTCTCTTTAACTCCATACTT